CATTTCGCCCCACCCACAGGGCTTTGTCAATCCAATTCCCCCAATAAGAGACGACACTTCGTTTTGAGGTCAAGCAGAACTGACTGTACTGGCACATACAGCCTCTTTTATTCACAATCCACAAACATAGTACTGCCCACAGGGTTTTGAAATACAACCAATCAATCCGTACAATACACACAGACACTCCCACAGAAAATCCTCCCCTCTTCCTGTGATATGATTACTGAACACAATGGTTAATATAATTATTACAGGCAGAGAAATACAATATTATAAAACATATCACAGGGACCCCAAAACATGCAACGACCCCATAAAAAGTATATCCTTGGAACCGGGGGATCTGGGGGAACCACATATCCAAAATTCACCCAGATCCATTAAGTAGTTTGGAAGATACAGTTTAATGCAGATTCCGCAGAACATATACAGGCTATATGAAAAATAATTACTGTATAATGTGTCCCCTGTTCTATAGTTTAAAACTACTGCACGATGTCTTTGTGCACCAAATACCGCGAGATGGCACCGTGTAGAAAAGTCCAAACAGTGTCTGTGAGTTAAAATGGCCGCCATCCATTGTTCTCACCATGTGCTTCATCCATTGTTCTCACCATGTGCCTCTGATACATGAAATGGTGGCCACCCAGTAACTCCACAGTATGTCACCAGATGGTTCTTAAAGGGCCAGCAGCAGCATAATAAAATCAAGTATGCCCACATCAGTTCCTAGAAGGGCAATACATCCCAGGGCCATAGTCGCAGGGCAGGAGGCTGGCAAACAGGCCCCTCCAAAAACAAGTGGTGAGGTTACTTTCGCCACAATGACGTCATATTTCGGCTCCCGGCATCAGTAGACAGCCCGCAAGGGAGCAGAGAGGACATAGCTCCCTCGCCACGTCTGACAGGAACTTTGCCGTCCGCCGCACTGAAGTCTCACTGGACCCCAGGAACAGATCCACTACAGCTCTCCAGGTAGGGAGGCTGGGTGGACATTTAATATTAATAATTTGTGTGTGTCTGTAAGTGTATGTGTATATGTGTGTGTCTGAATGTGTATGTGTCTGTAAGTGTATGTGTGTCTGAGTGTATGTGTGTGTGTCTGTGAGTGTGTGTGTATGTCTCAGTGTGTGTATGAGTGTGTCTGTGAGTGAGTGTGTGTGTGTCTGTAGGTGTATGTGTCTGTAAGTGAATGCGTCTGAATGTGTGTGTGTCTGTGAGTGTGTGTGTGTGTCTATGTGTCTGTGTGTATATGTCTGAGTGTGTGTATATTAGTGTATGTGTGTGTGTCTCTACATGTGTCTGTATGTATGTCTGTATGTATGGGTCTCTATGTGTGTGTGTGTGTCTGTATGTATATGTCTGCATGTGTATCTGTTTGTCTGCATGAGTGGGGGTGTAGATGTATGGGGGGGACCTAGGGCAATTTTCGCACCGGGGCCCCATGGTTTTTAGTTATGCCTCTGGTTCTACCTGTGCATAACACTTAGAACGACAGGAGAATGCGCATTAGGGACTTTAACTTGTGGCTTGGTGAATGGTGTCGGGATCAAGGATTTGGCTTTATTTCTCATGGTAGCTCTGTTTGGAATGGAAATAAACTGTACAAAAAAGACCAATGTATTTATTATTGGATAGGGAAGCACATAGGGCGGGAAGACAATAAAAGCCACTGTCAGGAACAGTTTTACACGACCTTAGCGACCAATAACGCAAGAGTCCAATTCAAACGCAGCAGCTGACATAAACGGCAAACGAAAGCACAATATAACAAATTGCTCTTTACAGAAACACTGACCGCTTCAACAAATGTGAGTCTGTTTTGTATAGTCTTGCTATGTATTGCGCAGTTTTGTTTTGTTTTGTTATAGTTCATCTTTTATACGTGGGCACGATATGCCCACCAAAATTGGAAAAAAGCGACACTGAGCGGCAAACCAGGAATATTATTTAACCTGTAAAACCACTTCTATTCTGTAACATGCAATGTAACACTTATTCACGTGAGCCAATGTATACTGCAATACCGTACTCTGTGTCGAAACAAAAATAAAGAATTAAAAAAAAAAAAGGGAACAAATTAACAGAGCGCTCCGGGCTCCCTCAACAATAGCAAACCAGCCCAGAGATTTAATTGTAAGACTACACTACTACCACGTTAAAGAAGCCTTAATCAAAGCTGCCAGAGACGCCCCTGGCAGATTGAGGGCCGCCAGGTCAAATTTTACCAGGATCTAGCCCCGACCAGGGTTGTTCACTAAAGGGAGAATTGCTGGGAAATCATTATGAATTTTAAATTTGACAAATTAGAAAAATTGTCTGATTTATTTCTGTTTTCAGTTTAGGTAATGAATAGTAGATATCAGTGGCGGATCCAGAGCCTGATCTCAGGAGGGGCACTTGTAGATTATTTAAAGAAATAATCCAGACACAATAACCACTACAGCTCAGTGTAGTGGTTATGGTGTCAATAGTGCCGGGACCCCCTCCCAGAGTAAGTAGTCAAACCGTTTAAGAACAGTTTGACAATTTACCTGGTCTGCTGGGAAATGGGGCAGTAGTAGGGCATAGGAGCAGTGGTGTGTGTGAGTGGTGCAATGTGTAAGGGGTGCAGTGTGTGTGTGTGTGTGAGGGGGACAGTGTGTGAGCAGTGTGTGTGTGTGTGAAGGTTGTAGTGTGTGTGAGGGCGGCAGTGTATGTCAGGGATGCAGTGTATGTGTGGGACAGTATGTGTGTGTAACAGTTGCAGTGTGTGTGAGTATTGCAGTGTATGTGTGAGTGTGGGCAATGTGTGTGTATGGGGCGGCAGTGTGTGTGTATGGGGGGCAGTGTGTGTGTATGGGGAGCAGTGTGTGTGTATCGGGTAGTGTATGTGTGTAGAGTGTATGTGTATGGGGGACAGTGTGTGTATGGGGGCAGGGCAGCGTCTGTGTATGGGGGGCGGTGTGTGTATGGGGGTGGTATGTGTGTATGGGGGGCAGTGTGTGTGTATGGGGAGTAGTGTGTGTGTATGGGGGCAGTATGTGTGTATGGCGGGCAGTATGTGTGTATGGGGGCAGTGTATGTGTGTAGAGTGTGTGTGATAAGGGAAGGGGGCTTTTTTTATATAATATATATATATATTAATTTAATTAAAATATATATTCTATGTCCCCCTTCCCTTCTTACCTTTACTGGTGGGGAGGGGGAACATTTTCCTGGTGGTCCATTGGTGATTCCCTGGTGGTCCCAGTGGTGATTCCCTGGTGGTCCCAGTGGGGAGAGTTCACTCTCGCGAGATTTGGAGCGTTGCCGTGGTAACCGCGGCAATGCTCCAAATCTCACGAGAGGAGGAACCGGAGGAGCTGCAGGCTGAGTTCCCGGGTCCTCTCTCTCACTCCCTCCCTCCCTCCCCCCGCCGGCTGCCAGCACGGTGCCTGCGGACCGGGGAGGGAGATCTGTGATCTCCCCTCCGGTCAGCAGGCACATTGCAGGGCTAGCGCCTGCATGTGCTGTCAGGGGAGAGGGAGACCATCGGTATTCTCACTTGCCCCCGGATCCGCCACTGGTAGATATGCTATGGGCAGAAGCTTGAATCATATCCTGCAGGGTAAGGAAGGGAAGTCCACATGAGTACAGACTAAGGGGCAAGGTGTGAAAGGTGCAGTGGGTAAAGAAGAAAGGATGAAGAGGCATGATAAGTGTATGAACAAATGCCTTAAACAAGTAGCATCTTCTAAAGTTTTTAAGATGGAAGTTAAATGTTTGGGAGGCAGACTGGATGAGGGGAAAAAAGATTAGATTGAATAAAAAATAACACCAAAGCGATGAGCTTGAGGTTGCAGTGCAGGTCTCAGCTCATTGGTTGAGAGTATACGCTCATCCCTCTCAAGGCAGGGAAAGTGTCTGGCGGCCATCATATAAGAAGTCAAACCATTCAAACAAACTTTGACTATGTACAACAAGAGGGAGAGGGGGTGCTAGGGCAGAAAATAGTTATGTAGTTATACAGCTTGGAGTGTTCCTTTAATGTCTCTATCACATAAAGCATGTACAAACATTTATTCACTAGAATTTCTCACAATGCTCAAATAAACAGTAGTTTAAAAACAATGTTAATTTTTATGTTGCATAACTATATGTCATTAAGATTCTTAATACAATGGTACCTCGGTTTACAAACGCCTCGGTCAACATAATTTTCGGTTTACAAATGAAAATCCATTGAAAATAATGCCTTGATTTACAATGTTTTTCTCGCAATACAAAGCAAGTTTCCCCAGGATGCATTGCACCTGGGAGGTTTATAGCACCGCCCCCTGCATACTGGAGCCTGTGGGTAGCACATGGTATCGTGTGTGGAGGTGTTGGAGCGGCTTTTGCATCGAGTTTTGGAGCCATTCTGATAATTGTTTGCAGTTGTTTTGGGACTTTTTGGTGCATTTCTCAAGCTGTGGAAAGGTAGGGAGCTGATCTTTGTCGTTTGCATGCCTTTTACTGTGTGTTCTGCATTGTGGGTTGGTTTCCATGCCAGCTCATTTTGACTTTTTTCTGACCTTCAGAATGGATTTATTGGTTTTCAATGCATTTCTATGGGAAACTGCATTTCGGTTTACAAAGTTTGCGCATTAAGAAACGTCCAGGAGAATGCATTAAATTATTAAACCGAGGTACCACTGTATATTTGTTTTGTCAAAATTTTCCTGGTTTGTCTTATGATTGTGCAAGCATGGTGAGGGCGATAATGATGATATAGAACAGGGGTAGGCAACCTTTCAGCAGCACTGTGCCGATATAGGATTGTGATGTCCCGTAGCGTGCCGATCCTATTTTTTTTAAATTGAGGTGTGTATGCTGCGTATTCTGCTTGTGTTATTTTTACTGTAATTGCTTTGTATCGTTGTATTTGTGCATATATGAGCTATTATATTGTATATGTTCATTAGTAGTTTATGGTATCGTGTATGATACATATGAATGTGGGCTGTGTATGAGGGCTGCTTGTGGCATTGTGTGTGGATGGATATGTCCCATTGTGTGTTTGGTAGTGTGTGGGGGCTGTGTGGGGTATTGCATGTGAGAGGCTGCATGTGGGGTTGTGTGCATGTATGTATATTGTTGCGTTTGTGGGGATTGTGTGTTGTGTGTGTGGGGGCTGTTCATATTATTTGTATGAGGGGAGGGTTTCTGTGTATATCTAGCAGTGTGGATGGGTTCCCTGGGTTCCAGTGGGGACCAGGCTGGCCAGGTACAGGTCAAGGACAGGAGCTGCGATAGCTGTCGAGGAAGTGCTGGGAGGAAGTGATCTGAAATCACTTCCTCTATGTGCTGCAATGCATAAATTGAGGATTGTCCTTCACCACCTCTTTTTTACTGGGACTCCTGATAGGCCAGAGTGCGTTTGGCTCTAGCAGCCTTGAGTGCCGTGCAAAGACACCTTGAGTGCCGTGCATGGCACTAGTGCCGTAGGTTGCCTACCCCTGATATAGAATAAATACAGTCTTCTTGTACATATATTTAACTCAATTCATGATAACAATTTCACAGTCTCCTGAATAAAGGATATGGGGCTTTATCACAGTCGTAAGGGTTATTCATTAACAATCTAAAATAAGCCTCTTCTGACTAACTTAAGTCATCATTCGTAATCTGATTCCTCATCTCCTAAACCTGTTTACTTTAAAAGGTTCGGGAGGGGGGCGTGGCTTGGCGGTCCGAGAAGATGGCAGCCTAAAACTTACACTCCCCGCTGGCTCAACATTTAACCTCGCCAAACCTGCACTCTGGCCGCAAATATGGGGAAAACCTAACGAGCGGCACACACACAACAACCCACGGACACTCCCAGGGGGACCCAGACACCCTCCATGAAGCACTGCCTGGTGTCACAGGCGGACCTCGACAACCAGGCCTCCAATGACTCCACGGCCTCAGGCCTCTCGAACCTGCCATCACCGAGGGGGGAGCTAATTCACACGGAAAGTGGAATGAAGGTATCCATACAATGCACGCCCGACCTAGTTTCCCTGTTGAAAAATCTGTCGACGAGAGCTGACTTGCAAGCGGCTAATGCCGAGCTGCGTACATGTATTACTTCCGAACTCCACGCGTTGCGGGAGGATATCCAAGGCCTCAGCCAGAAAGTGGCGCAGCTAGAAGCAGACTGCGACCAGATGTCAGTGGCACAGACGGCGAACGCGGACAAGCTACAGCAACATACCACGATATTGCAGCAATTAGCAACGCACGTTGAGGACTTAGACAATAGGGGCAGGAGACAAAATATACGTGTCCGGGGGCTTCCCGAAGACCTGGATAAAACGACGCCAATCCAGACCACGTTGCTGGAACTATTTAACAAGCTACTTACCAGGCCACCCCAGAAGCACATAAGCTTCGTCCGGGCACATAGAGCGTTGAGACCTCAGGGACCCCCAGAGGGACCCCCTAGAGACGTTATTTGCTGCCTAGAGAGCTTTCAATTAAAGGAGGAGATCCTCCGCAGGGCCCGGGGAACAGAGAAGGTGCTCCTGGGAAATACTGAAATCAAACTCTTCCCGGACCTCTCCCCAGCCACTCTAGCATTTCGGAGAGCAATGAAACCCCTCACCAGACAGCTCCAAACGGCAAATATCAGATACCGGTGGTGCTTCCCCACGGGCATACAAATTGTGACAGCGAAAGGCCCCCTCACGGTATCCAACGAAGAAGAGCTGGCGAGCCTCCAAAGGGAACTCCACCTGGCACCGGAGAAACTAACGTGGCCGAACCCACTCACCTTGTATGCCGCTAACTCCAGGCCACAAGGCACAGGCCCCATGCCTCAAAGAATCCGGAATCTCCGAACACAGACGTTACGGCCCGCGGGGACGCCTAACTAACCGATAGTGGCGCTCCGCCCTCGTTGCAGACCCCAGAGGAGGATAATCACCTTTACTCACCTCTTACTCACCTCTTCCACACACACGCAGTGGGACAGCTTAAGCCATCTCCATGAATAGTCCCCCCTACAGGAGAAACGCAGAGGCCCTGTCGATCATGCTAACTGCCTCACGGACACAACACTACCAACAGCAAGATAAGGACACTCGCCCCAGAGACCAGGGACTATATGCTCCATGGATCAGCCGTATTGCAAGTAATGGGGAGGGGGAGGGGTGAGAGTAGTCCCTCTCTGGAATTATTACGATGTACCGCTGGGAAAGGGGGTTATTGTTTTCTTACTCATTGTAATGCAGTCTAAGTGTTGTATGGGGAGGTGGGGTGCGCTGACCGGGGGGAGCCCCGGGGGGCCACAGTGGTCTGCGACGATCTGTTTGGGAGCGCACTTGGCCCCTTGGGCTCCGCCCACTCGGGGCTCCTTGGGGTTGTCTGACATGCAACATCACAAACTGATGAAAGGAGACCAGTGACTATATGCTCCACCGCTCACTCGTACAGCAGGCAACAGGGGAGGGGGGAGGGGGTGGAGGGAGAGTGACACCTGGCTGAGGGGAGAGCCCTGAATGGAGGTCCAGATGGGGTAGGGGGCCCTGTAAACCTTACTTGCCAGAGGGAAAGGGGGTTATTGTCATATTCTATTTTGTTATACTGACTGTACATTGGGGGGGGGGTGGGATGCGCTGACTGGGGGGGGCCACAGTGGTTGACGATGATCTGTTTGGGAGCGCACTTGGCCTCCTGGGCTCTACCCACTCGGGGATTCCCAGACTCCCTCGATGGCTTCACACACTGATAGGAGACGTCACACGCTAGGAGGTGTGGACAGAGAACATTGAGATCCCCCTTCAAAAATGGCACAAATCATGCGGGGGGTCACGGGGGCGGAGGGATCAGGACGTGGGCGAGTACCGCTCTCATATTACTGGGAACAACATCCGCGGGCAGGCGGGGCCTTTGACCGCCTGGGACCCGGGGGGGACTGGGACGTTCGCCACTTCAAACTGGTGACCACTCAGCCCTCCCCAACAGGTTATGCTACTTAATGTTCTGTTATGAATCACTGTTAAGTTAAAGCAACTACTGACACTTTTTTGGTGAGGTTACATAACAAGCTGCATTTGACACACAACGAGCCGTAAGACGGGGGGGTGGGATACTCTGACTGGGAGGAGCCCTGAGGGACCATAGTAGTCCGCGACGATCTGCTAGGGAGCGCACTTGGTCCCCTGGACCTTGCGCACTCAGGGATTCTTGGACTCCTTCGACTGTCCAATCCTGTTGGATTGAGCGACAAGATACAGGTGCACAGTACCCCCTAACTCATGGGTGGGGCAGGGAGCTACTGCACCCTGACGCTCAGTTCCACGTGTTGTTACTTTCAACAACACTTCTGAATACCCGACCTATATCTTAGTGAATCTACCCCCTCCTTCCTTTCCCTCCCCACCTCTTCCTTCCCCCCTCCTACCTGACATCATTTACACAACCCATTGACATAGACCTTCAGACAGACATGACCATGAACACATCCCGAGACTGCGGACCACCCACCAGGTCCTTGACACCAATCCCCATCACAATACTTTCAATGAACGCCAGAGGGCTGAACAAACCGGAGAAGTGATCCGGAGCCCTTAGGGACTTCCAAGCTCATAAGGCCTCCGTTGTGTTCCTACAGGAGATCCATTTCCGAGAGGGGGCGAGGCCCACACTAACAAACCAGCATTATCCCATAGGCTATTACAGTGATTTTCGGGGAGGGAAATCTCGGGGAGCGGCTATCCTCCTGCACAGACGGCTCCCGTTCACGGAACAGGGGGTCATGACTGACCCGGAGGGTCGCTTTTTGTTCCTCAAAGGGAAGATAACAGACACGACATACACTTTTGCCAATGTTTATGCCCCCAACCAGGGACAATATAGGTTTCTGGCCAGGACACTCCGTGCTCTCAAGCATTTCGCGGAGGGGGTCGTGGTACTGGGGGGAGACCTGAATGTCACCTTGGACCCTAAATGGGACTCCTCGCAGGGGCAGTCACATCTTCCTGCACAACACATCATGGCAATCAAGACCCTCCTCTCAAGGGCCCAACTGGTGGACTGTTGGAGGGCGTTTCACCCTGATGACAGGGATTACACATATTATTCCCATCCACACAACTCATACACATGAATCAACTACCTTTTTGTGTCTCACTACCATCTGCCACTGGTGCTGGAGGCTGCGCAGGGAACCGCGACGTGGTCCAACCACGTCACCAGTGACCATCGTACTGTGGTCTCCCCTGTTCGGGCCCAGGGTGACAAAATGCCGATTAAATGAATCCCTGCTAGCAAAATCAGACATCACAACAGACATAGAAGCGACACTAAAAAACTACTTTACGGACAATACACAAGACCAAACCTCCCCGCCATGCAATGGGAGGCACACAAAAGCGTGATTATGGGACATTTTATATGGAAGAGCGCGCATCTTAAAAAGCAGAGAGAGGCCCGCAGGCTCCAGCTCCTTGCGGACATACAACAACTAGATGCCCTCAATAAAAAATCACACCTTCCCACACACTAGGACACGCTCCTTACCATGCGAAGGGAACTAACTACTCTCCTACACACTCAACACCAAAGGGCGGCGCTGCGACGCAAGGCGTTCTTCTCTATACACGGAAATAAGAGCTGCAAACTCTTAGCACGCATGCTCAACAAACAGAGACAGGACACGTGCATTGACTGCATGCGAGATAAAGGAGGCATATTACACAGACACCCTACTAAGATACAGGAAATCATACGCACCTACTATGCAGAGTTATACTCCATCCCACGCCCCCAAACAGCAGAACAGGCACGCATAGATGCATACCTCCAAACACATGACCTCCCTTCCCTGACAACGGAAATGAAAGATCGACTGGAAGAGCCGATCACACCTGAGGAGCTGGTAAATGCCATTAAGCAAACTAAACCAGGCAGATGCCCAGGCTCAGATGGCCTACCCATCAAATATTACAAGAGTTTCGCAGATACCTTATACCCTCCACTGCTAGACATGTTTAGAGACGGACGAGACCTTCCCAAACAAGCGCTCATGGCAGACATAAACCTAATACCAAAAGAGGGAAAAGACAGGGAACAGTGTGGGAACTATCGACCCATATCACTCATAAACACTGACCTCAAACTCCTGGCTAAGGTCCTGGCGACCCGGCTCCAGCTGCACATCCCCTCCCTGGTCCACGAGGACCAGGTGGGATTCATAATGGGACGCGAGGCCAGAGATAACACTATCCGGGCCC